TTTCTTTACAACACATAGAATTCCTCTTCGAAGCAGCAAGAAAGAAGAAATCTCTCACTTTCCCTCCACTCTTACAATCTCTCAAAGAATTCCTCACAATATTGGAACCTTTCTAATCTCTTGGAACCCTCTCTAGCACTTCCTTTACTCTCTAGATTCTCCTCCTCTTCTAATTTTCGACCAAAATTGTCTATTAAAGTTGTGGATGGGCTTTCCCAAGAGTTGCCTAAGCATCACTTCAAAATTTGGCCTTATCCAAAGCTTGAGTAGGCCTAACCGTCGATCTCGCCGTCGGCGGCCTCGAGGGCGCCGAAAGAATTTTGTCCTGTAGCCTGAGGAAAAACTTGCCATCGGCGAGGTCGAGGGCGTCGTCGGCGGCCTAGTTCAAATCTCCACATTTTGGTCCGTTTCCCCCCTTTTGGTCCGTTTCGCTCCAAATTTGCTCTTTTTTGCATCTTTTTTCTCCAATGCCCGTAATTCATCATTTCTGCAATAAAACATCAAAAATATATATTTTTAAGTGCAATATCATTAAAAAAATTATAAAATAAATATGAAAATCTCAACATTTTTTGCTTGGGTTATAGACCAATAAAATTTAGATTGTAAAATTTTGTATATTATTTTATCAACACCAAAATGTCCCCCAAAATTAGAAATATAACACTTTTTGATAACTTCATAAGTTTCTTCTGAAGGCACACATCTTCAAATAATAAGATACATCCCTTGTTTATATAAAAATGGGTCATCCCAAAAATAAGTCTTAGCTTCAGATATAAATTTCCTTTTTTGTTGGTATGTCATTCCATAGAGTATATATAATATCACTAACAAGAAAGTTCACAATGTTGGCATGCCACGGAACATGTCACTCATTAATGTTGAAAAGTTTTTCATCAAGAAAATGTTCATTAATTTATTTTTCAAAATAGAGTGGTTTTTCTAATTCAAGCCCAGATAAATGATCAGCAATTTGTTTTTCAATTCCCTTTCAATCTACTATTTTAAAATAAAACTCTTGCAAAAGAAGAACCCACTGTATTAATCTAGGTTTTGCATTCTTCTTTTTCATTAAGTACTTAATAGTTGAATGATCTGTATGCACTACACATCAATTTCCAATTAAATATGATATAAATTTAGCAAAAGAAAATACTATTGCTAATAACTCTTTTCAATTATTGTATAATTAACTTCGGCTTCATTAAGAGTTTTACTAGCATAGTAAATTACTTTGAACAATTTATCATATTTTTGTCCAAAAACAGCTCCAATAACATAATCACTAGCATCACACATCAGTTCAAAAGCTTTTCCCCAATCTGGTGAAACTATAAGTGGTGCGTTGACTAATTTTTCTCTTAGTAACTTAAAAGCTTTTAGGCACTCTTCGTCAAAACTAAAAATTGCATCATTCTCTAGTAAATGACACGAAGGCTTAGCAATTTTTGAAAAGTCTTTAATATATCGCGCGTAGAACTCAGCATGTGCTAAAAAACTCCTAATTTCCCTTACATTGATTGGATAAGTTAAATTAGCGATCACTTGAATTTTAGTAGGATCTACTTCCATACCATTTTCTGATATTTGATGTCCATAAATTGCCATTTTTCCCAATTAAGGACTAAATCTGTTTCTTCACAATGCTTAAGAACTTTTGATAAATGTTCTAAACATGAGTCAAATGAATTTCCAAATACTGAGAAATCATACAAAAAGACTTTAATCCCTTTTTCAATTAAATCATAGAAAATAGCCATCATACATCTTTGAAATGTAGCAAGGGCATTACATAAACCAAAGGCTTTCTTAAAATTTTTCAAAATTTTATAAGGATTGGTAAAAGTTGTTTTCTCTTGATTTTCAGTTATCATTGATTTTGAGGAAATTGTAACTGATAAAGTAGATGAATCACCTAAAAAGCCATATTTTAAATGATCAGGAAGTAATTTCAACTCAAGTTCTAAAGGTTTTTTAATTGATGGACAAAATGATTGATCTTTTTCTGTTATATCCAGAATTTAAAAACTTTCCCAAACATAGTTTCAATTTCCTTATAAAAATCTTCAAGTTGATCTAATTCCTCTTCTTGCTCGTGTTCCAAATTTTTTATTTCATATTTTTCTTCATAATTTGTTTTAAAATGTTAGTCACTCAGATATCTTTCAACATTCATTCTATAACATCCATCATCTTTACCTTTTGTAGGATACTTCATTGATCTTGAAATGTTAAAAGTAACTGTTTGATCATTGGCACGCATAGTTAATTCCCCTTTCTACACATCTATCATTTATCTTCCTGTGGCTAGGAAAGGTCTCCAAAAAATGATAGGTATCTCTTTATCTTCCTCCATATCTAGCACAATAAAATCAACAAGAAAGATAAATTGATCCACTTTCACTAGGACATCTTCTATAACTCCTTTAGGATACGTTATTGAACGATCTGCTAACTGCAGAGTTGAAAGTAGTAACGGTTATTTCTCCTTATCCTAATCATTTAAATATTGATAATGGCATAAGGTTAATCCTTGCTTCTAAATCACATAGAGGTTTCCCATAAAATTCATCTCCTATTGCACATGGAATTGTAAAGCTACCAGGATCTTTAAGCTTTTCAGGAAGCTTTTTTTGAATTATAGCACAGCACTCCTCACTAAGTGAAATGGTCTCACTATCTTCAAACTTCTTTTTTCTATTAATAATATCCTTCTTAAACTTTACATAGCTTGACATTTTTTCTAAGGCTTCAGCAAATGGAATATTAATTGTAAGCTTCTTAAAAATTTCCATAAATTTTGAAAATTGCTTATCCAACTTCTATTGACAAAGCCTCTGAGGAAATGGAGGTGGTGGTTTTTCCAAATCAATTTTAAGTGGAGAAATAGGTCTCTCCAAACCTTTCAAAGTATTCTCTTTTGGTTCATCAATCTCTTCTCTCTCTACTTCAGTTTCTTTTTGAGCCCTACCTTCCAACTCTCTTCCTCTTCTAAGTTGAACGGTTTTTACTTGCTATTTATTCTGGACTTTCAGATTTACTTCAATATTACAAGGAAGTGTTCCTTGAGATCTATTACTTAATGAATTTGTTATTTGTCCAAGTTGATTCTCAATATTCCTAATTATAGCTCATTTATTTTTTAACTGATTTTCCATTTGTAAGACCACTTCTTATATAGATAACTTCTCCTTAAATTGTGGAATATAGTTGAAACCTGGAAGATAAATAGATATATTATTATTATTTTTCCCTTGGTTGTTCCAGTTTCTTAATGGGTTTACTTGGTTGCTACCCCATTATTGATTATTACCACCTGAAGTATTATTCCATTTAAAATTAGGATGGTTCTTCCAATTTGGGTTTTTGGGTTATAATAATTTGAGGTTATAATAATTTGAATATGGGTTATTTAGCTTGTTATTTATTACAATCAAAGTTTGTAATGATGCTTGAGAATCTACCATTTGGCTTAATGAATTCTCTTCAATCATAGGAATTGGTTGAGAAAAATTCATTCCAAATTGGTCTACTTCCTTGAAATTGCAGCAACTTGATTAGCTAACATGATAAATGCATCAACTTCATGAATATTGGCTACCTTTTTAAGATTTACCCTCTTAGAAGGCCATTGGAAACTATTGTTAGTCATTTCCTTAATTAAAGCGTAAGTGTCATGATATGGTTATTACATCAATGAATCTCCAGCAGTGACATCGATAATAGATCTAAGAGACTCAGCTAATCCATTATAAAAAGTTTGAATTATTAACCAATCTGGTATAGCATGGTGTGGACACCTTCTTAAGAGTTCTTTAAATCATTCCCATGCTTCATAAATAGATTCCCCTTCAAACCGATTAAAAGATGTAATATCATTTCCAACCTTCACAGTTTTTTATGGTGGAAAATATTTAACAAGGAATTTTTGTGCTAAATCACCCCAAGTTTTGATAGATCCGGGTGCTAACAAATGCAACTATATCTTAGCTTTATCCCTCAGTAAAGGAAATAACTTGAGTCTTCTGACATCATCTGATACACCATCGTATTTAAATGTATCACATAATTTTAAAAAATTAGCAAGATGTAAATTTGGATATTCAGTTGGTGATTCCCCAAACTGAGATTATTTGCCCAAACTGATTATTTGATACCATTTGGATAATAGCAGGTTTAAGCTCAAATGAATTAGCCACTACAACAGGTTTTTGATTACTACAATGAAATTCATCTACCATAGGGTTAGCATAATATCCTGATAGTCTAAATTCTTGATAAATTTCAACATTTTGATTATTTTGATCTGTCATTTCTGTAATTTTTTTAGATTTTTCAAAAATTTTATTTTTATTTTATTTTTTTTATTTTTTCTTAACAGTTCTTTCTAATTCAGAATCGTAGGGCACTAGTCCTTTATAACTTGAACTATGCATATACTAACATAAAACAAAAATAAGATACTTGATATAAAAACCCAACACTAAAATATTCTTATAAAAATTTTTAAATTTTAAATAAAGCATTCTAAAAATAGAAATTTTGTTTTAAATTAAATTACAATTTAATTTCAATCCCAATTTCAATGGAAATCTAAATTGCAAACCTAACTTTTAATTTTCATAATTTCAATCCTTGACAATGACACCAAAAACTTGATCCTGATTGTTTATATGCAACTGTATAACAATGTATGTAATTATATTCTCCACTTATCTTTCCTACTTTGCAACAAAACCAAAAACTTGATCCTGAATAAAAGAAAAATTTTACTTTTTAAGATCTTCTATGAACAAATTTAATGATTTTCTCTCTGAAGCTGCTTTATTTGATTTTGGTTTTCAAGGTCCAACTTTCACTTGGAGGAGGGGTTCAATGTGGGAAAGACTTGATAGAATGTAAGTTCAATGTGTTCAATGTGGGAAAGACTTGATAGAATGTAAGGAAACTCAGTTTGGTTTCAGACATTTCCTTATACTATTGTTTCTCACCTTGCTATGGCTGGTTCAGATCATAGGCCTCTATTGTACTCTATTCAAAATGTTGAAGGTCCTAAGCATTCCCCCTTTAGATTCCAAAATATGTGGGTTCTTCATCTTGACTTTCTTGGGGAAGTTAAAAAAGTGTGGATTACTGATAAGGATAAAAATCCTTGGATTAACTTATGGCGTCTTCAAAAAAATGTGGCTTCTCAGCTTAAAAAGTGGAATTGGAACAGCTTTGGTAATGTCAATGACAACTTGAAGGCTGCTAAGGATAAGGTTCTAGCCATGGAAATAGAGTTTCAAAGGGGAGAAGTTTCTGAAAAAGAATTGCATAAAGCCAATGAAGAACTTCTCATGCAAATTATGTATTTTGAAAATTTTCTGAAACAAAAAGCTGCTGTCACTAAATTTACTGAGGGAGATAGGAATTCCAGCTATTATCATGCTTGTATTAATTACAGAAGGAAGTGTAATATGATCTTGTCTATCACTGATTCTGAAGGGAACTGTTTTTCTGATGCTGGGACTATTGCCCAAGATGCTGTTTGTCAATTACTTCAATAACCTCTTTAGTGTTAAATCCATTTCCATGCCTTAAATGAATGTTGAACTTATGGCTGGCTATCAGGAGTATGTTCAAAGATTGGAGCTCACAAATATCCCTCTGGAAGGAGAAATTAAAGCAGCTTTTGAGTCTATTGATGGGCACAAGGAGGGTGGACCTAATGGTTTTACTGCAAAATGTTATACAAATTCTTGGTCTATTATTAGTGGAGACTTTATTGCTATTGTTCAAGCATTCTTCAAGGGTGTGGATCCTCCAAGATACTTTACTGCTTCTACTATCACACTGATTCCCAAGAATCAGATTAGAAAAAGCTGGGGAGATTTTAGACCTATTAGCCTTACCAATGTGGTATCGAAAGTAATAAGCAAAATTATTGTCACTAGACTTCAACCACACCTACAAGTGCTTATCAGCAATAAACAAGTGGCTTTTGTTAAAGGCAGAAATATCGCTGATAAAATTTTACTTGCACAAGAACTCCTATTGGATCTTGATAGAAATTGTAGAGGTAGCAATGTTATATTTAAGCTGGATATCAAAAAAGCATATGACTCCATCAATTGGGACTTCATTTTGGAGATTTTGGCTGCTAGAGGTTTCTTTGAAGACTTCAGGAATTTGATCAGGAGATGGCTTAATTGCAACAACCACTCAATGCTTATCAATGAGCAAAGCCATGGTTTTTTCACTACTTCTAGGGGAATTAAACAAGGGGACCCATTGTCTCCAACAATCTTTATTCTGGCTATGGATTTTTTATTAAGATTGTTGAACCATATGTTTACTGCATACCCTTATTTGGCCTATCATCAAAGATCTAATGTTGATGTGAGAAACCTATCTTATGCTGATGATATTAAAATTTTCTCCAGGGCTACATAGATTGCTGTTAAGAAGCTTTATTAAGGGCTTAAAGACTTCCAACAGATTTCAGGTATGGAACTTAACAAACAAAAATGTCAGATTTTTGCTAGCTCTAATATCTCTCCATAGATAAAACATTGGGATAAAACATTGGATTGCTTTAATATTCAATATACTGGTTTTCAATATACTGGTTTTAATATTGCCAACTTGTCGATCAAGTACCCGGGGGTTCAACTTATTAAAGGTAGGACCAAGCAAACTCAATTTAATGAGGTCATTCATCATATTCAAGCTGAACTGCAAAGAAGGACCAACTCCTTCCTCTCCAATGGTGGTATAATAACCCTTCTTAAAAGCATCTTGACTGTTATTCCTTCTTATGCTCTCCAAATGCTTACAATGAAAAAAGGAACTTAAGTGTTGCTGGGAAGAATGTTTAATAAATTCCTATGGACTGGGCAGAAAAAGCAGATTCATTGGTTACCATGGTAGAAACTTTGTAAGCCTTTTCATGCTGGTGGTCTGGGGTTCAAGGACTTCCAACAGCTTATCTTTATCAACCTTTGTAAGCTATAGATAAAATTTAGGACCCAGGACAGTCTTTGGGCAATTTTTATGCAAGGAAAATATTGCAAAGCCTTACATCCTAGTCTGGCTACAAAAAATCTTGGTGATTCCAGAATTTGTCAGAAATTATTGGAGATTAGAACTCAGGCAGAAGAATTGTTTATTTAGGAACTTGGTGAAGGTCAAGTTAATTTTTGGTTACACAAATGGACTTGGCATGGTGAACTTTTTATTTGCTCATCCTCTAATCTTAATTATCAGTCTAAGGTCAAGGAGTATTGGTCTCATAACCAATGGAACTGCAACATGTTGAATAATATTTTAAAACAGAAACAGTTACAGTGGGTTAGAAACATTCCCTTATTCCTTGAACAAAAGGACAAAATGGTGACTAAGCAAGCTACATCTCAAAACTTTTACTTATATTTTTCAAAACTTTTACAAGTGGAAACCTGTTTTGTGGGGTAAAACTATCTAGTGTAAATGGCTGACCCCCTCTATGTCCTTCTTCAGCTAGAGACTGTGGCATTCCTTGCTTCCAACTGATGACATTTTGAAAATGAAAGGGCTAAAGGGCCCTTCTTGCTGTTACTTATGTAATAGGGAAGAAGAAACCTTGGATCACCTTTTATTCTCTTGTTCCTTCTCTCAAAGGATTTGGTCTCATCTTTTAAGGCAGTTAAATATTGATACCCTTAAAGTCAGTTGGGATATTTTCTCTCACTGCTGGAAGTAATGGCAAGATGCTAATTTGTTGATTATTCCTTGCATTGTAGCCTGGTTTCTCTGGATGAGTATAAACAAAGCTAAGTTTGAAGATTCCAAGCCATTGGATAGGACTGTGGTATTTAATTGCACTTCATATATACAAAAAATTACTAAATATCATAACTACACTAATCTATTCCTAGATTGGAAGCCTAAGGTGAAAATTCTACAGAATTATAAACCAACCTTGGTTTTTTGGACCTCTCCTCCTCTTAGGTGGCTGAAAGTAAACACTGATGGTAGCTTTACTAGTGAAGCTTTTAGGTTTGGTTAAGTGTTTAGAAACTCCCTTGGGAAGTGTTTGATATATTTTTCCTCCCCAACTTGGGCTATTGATGCAATGGAAGCTAAAATGATAGTAATATACTGGGCTCTCTTTTTTGTTAACCATTATAAGATCAACAATCTGATTGTTGAATCAGATTCTAGCATATGTGTAAGAATTCTGTAGAAGGAAGTGGAACGTCCATGGTATATTATTAGATGGATTAACAAACTTATGCATTTCCTGAATAATGTGAGAGTCAAGTTTCAACATATTCTGAGAGAAGGTAATGGTCCTGCTCACTGCTTAGCTGCATTGGGGAGACATTCTGAAAAAATCTTAGTTGGATCAGCTCCTTCAAATCAACTTGATTTACTACTACATGGAGATAGTTTAACAATTCCTTACCTTCATAGTTAGTAGGTTCTTTTGTTTATATATATATATATATACTTGTTGTTTAACAGAGTTATATATATATATATATATACTCTC